CTTGTTCCTAGTAGCGATGCCCTTTGCTACTAGTAGCTTCTTGTTACGAGTAGTAGGGCCAGGAGCTACCAGTAGCGTCCTTGTTCCTAGTAGCGTCCTTGATGATCGGAATGATGGAAATCAGTAGGACCTCCAAGTCCTTTTTTTTAAATTCCGGTCGATTGGCGGGTGCGAGCATCAGTTCCAAGTTCCACCCCACAGTGCTTTGGTGTTTACCAATCCCAACGGCAAGGGCCACCCCACGTGTTCCCCCCGTTCACCACACGTCCGACGTTTCGTCGGCTGAGGCCTCAGCCGCGTCTCCGCGCGCCCCGACGAGATGGTCACCGCGCCCGTGTCGCCGCCGCTGCCGCCCGCCGAGGGCGAGACTGCCTTGGCCACGCGGGCGCAGGCAAGGAAAAAATTTTTCCTTTAAATTTTTTCCTTAAAAATTTTTTCCTTGGCAGTGTGAAACGGGTGCTTCATGTGATGTCAAGTCACATGTTTGCACCGCAATGGCCGCAGTTTGATGGCACAAGTTCCTTCCCGAAGAGCCCTTTAAGGGCGAAAGCTCGAAGTAGTGCCAAAAGTGTGGCGCCGGGCTGGCTTGATAGACCCCTAGTAACTCAGTTCTTCGCCTTTAGAGTTCGGTGAGGAGTTACTGAGGAAGCAGACAACACATGACAACACCTACCCTGGTGTCGGAGAACTCTTCGTTTTAACTGTCGTTTTTAAGACTATAGGGGCCTAGTCTGGCTTTTGGTTCATGGTTGAAGCAGTCTTGGGCTGGCTGTGTTGGTTCTTGGCAACAAGAGTGCTTCGTGTGCTCGGGCGAATCTATTGGAGCCACACGAGGCAGAGTGGCACACGTTTGCAACGCAAGAACCCTTCAGTCCACGAAAGGAAATCCCTGTGCTGCAGATCTCAAACCCGCATAAACCCCCTCACCCAATTCCTATGCTAGAACTCGTATTGGAAAAAAGCCTGATGTACGCAGGTATAGGGTATATCTGTTTGTGCGCTCAGTTTTCGCGGCACAGGTGGCGAATAGGATGACGACCACCACGCCCTATGGCCTCTCGGTTTGAACGTTTGGCCGATCCGAAGTGTGGAAATTCGACGTTCAATGGCCCGTCACATGATCCGTTTGGTCGATCCGTCTTCCGGGCTGCGGGACGTGGAGAAAGACCCCCGAGCCGAGCCGAGCCGTCTCAACTCGCGCCTGACGGAAACGGAGCCAAGGACAGGCCCCAGAGTATTTCCCGATGGCCCGGGCGCCCGGTCGGCGTGGATCGCTATGTCACTCGGCCGGCGCTTGGTTCGTCTCGGGTGGGGTCCTGAGGTGGTCTATCGAAGCCCGGAGGACGTGAAAGCCACGAAGGTCCATGCGGCGTCCACCGAGCTGCCGTGGCCCGTGGAGCTGCCAGCCCTGAAGGAGCGGGAAATGGGACGTGGTGTTTGATTTTGGGGCAAAGGCATTGCACCGTGGTGTGTACAGCTAGAGTCGCTTAGAGTCTTGAGACCTACAAGAGTACCTACAAGCAGCACTTGGCGCATAGGAAGACCATGGTTCCTACTGGTTGCTACTACTGCTGACCGGCAATTTGAGTGATGACTGATCCATCCATGTTCCCTGTCGAGAAGGCATCCAAGCGATTCCAAGCGATGAAGGTGTTGGTAATTTTTGACTAGACTAGACTCATTACATCTTGTTGCTAGTAGCTTCTTGCATCTTCCTGCCACTAGTAGTAATGCCCTTGTTACTAGTAGCGATGCCCTGCCCCAGAAGGGGAGTTCTGGCTTCAGCAATTTTTAGAAGATAGGGATATATATATATATATTCCTTTTTGCTTGCTGCTTTGCTTGAGGCATTGCCCCATGAACAACGACCGATGGAAAGTAATGTTCTTCTTTACACGCTCCACAGTTGGCATCGTCCTCCACCTATTGCAGCCTCAACGTTCCAACAGACATAGCACTTAGTCAACACCCTCTTGAAACCATTCAGTGAAGGCCCATGCGTGGCCCCATGCCAGGAGCCAAGCACAACTGGCTGAGCGTGCATTTGGCGGATTCTTGAGGGTGTGGTTCAAAGCTTGCGGTCCAGATGTGTGCTTGGGCAGACGGTCCACTTGTTGCTTCTCATGGCAAACGGTCCCGCAGCGGCATCCGAACCAGATGAGATTTTATGAGGCTTCTGAACCACACTCAGTTCCTCTGCCAAAGATCGGGCACTTCGACCGAACCACATGACCCGCGTTCCGGCGAACAAGCTGCGCCGTGTTCCGGGGAGGTGCAGCGCCGTGACGGTGCACTACCTTGCTGTGAAACGCTGGTGTGGTTTTTCATTGGTGAACGTCACTTCACCGTAGCCTTGAATTTTCCCAAGGAAGAGAACTTGCCTTTTCCTCTGGCTGTTTTTGCCTGAATTTTTCCCATCCTCCCCTCTTGGAGCCTCGTCCCGAGCCTCCCTCCATCTCCCTCCATCTCTTCCTTTTCTTCGCCATGGCACCTCCACTCGGCACCTGGCTCCCGCGGCTCCTGCGCCTGGCAGCCTTCACCGCCGTCGCGGCCGACGCGGCCGACGCCGCGTGCCGCGCCGCCCGCGTGGGGCGGACGACGCTGGGCGCCGCGGCGCTGGAGACGTTGGCCGCGCTGCCGGCGGCCGACGTGGCCACCGTGCGCTGCGGAGAGTTGCAGGGAACGCTGCTGCATGAAGCGGTGGAGGGAGGCGACGACGGGGAGCGGCGTTGGGGCTTCGCGGTGTTTTGGCCCACACTTAGGGTGGTGAGGGGATAAGACTATAAGAGCGGAATGGGCCAAAAAGCAACCTGCACTGCTTGTCTGTCAGTCAAGTGAGTCGTTTGGAGGCTTCTTTTGAGGTCCCGAAAAAGTGAGTTTGGGGATGTGTGATCGGATCATCTCATGTGTCCCGAGTGATTAAGGCTTAAGGAGTCCAGTGAGCCAATGTGGGACATTGGAAAATGGAACTTGTGAATTGCCTTTTCCAAATCTGGGCTTGCCAGGAGAAGCTACTACTGTAGGTTGAAGTTGAAGGCCATCGCTATCGGAGGCCATCGCGATTCGACGTTCCAATTCGCTTCCAGGAGATTTGGAAGTGGTGAAGTTGCTCCTGGCCCGTGGTGGCGCTCAAACGGTCAATGCGAAAGATCGATTTCTGAAGACTCCCCTGGCGTGGGCGGCGCTCAAAGGCGGACCACGGACGTGACGGGACCACGGTCGTGAAGCTTCGTCCCGAAAGGACAAATTCAGAGCACATGAGGCACGTTGCACTGGTGCCAAACAAAGGACTAACCGATTCAGACGAGGCGAGCGAACATGCATTGGATGGCCACCCGTCGAATGTGTGTTTGGCTCACCACATGAAGAGGAGAACTCAATGACCGATCTTTTGAAGCATTTATCAAGTCACAACTCTACGTTCCTCCCCGTGTTCTAAACAAGTGCATGGCTTGTAACAAGGGCATTCCCAACAAGAAGCGACATGTTCACCTGAAAATCAGGGGTTTCCCCGGCTGCTCCAGGTCGTGTGGAGGTGACGAAGCTTCTCCTGGCCTCCAACGCCACCGTGGGGGGCGCCCGCGTCGTCGTCGCGTGCGACGGGGGGGGGAACACCGCCAGGGGTGGTGTAGCTCGGAGCTGCGGAGATGGCACTCTTATAGGTGGGCAAGAACCGAAAAACGGGGATCGTGACAGTTTAGGAGAGTGATCGGGTGGCGTGATTCAATTCTATAGCATGACTCAAGCTGATTGGTTAGCACCTGGAGCTTTTTCGCGACTCAGGAGCTCAGCCCTCCGGGTGGGTTGGACACACCCCGCCTTGGCGAGGTGAATGCGAAGGATGAGTTCCTGGCCACGCCCCTCTCCGACGCGGCACAGGAAGGCACGGGAAATTGTAGGGTGGCAGGTAGTTGGACCGAAAAGGTTGGATGTTTTGCCACTGCTGTCTGTATTCGGCACCCCTCTGGTCTGCAGATCAGAGAGGCTTTCAAGGCTCCGGCTTTTCCGGAGGCCATGTGGAGGTGGCCAAGTTACTTCTCCAACACGGAGCTGAGATGGAGGCCCGCGGGCAGATGGGCCGAACCCCCTTGATGGAGGCGGCCGAGCAAGGCGCGGCTGGGACGTGACTCCTTTCGTGTCGGACTCCGTCGCTGGGTGGGTTGGGACCGACCGAGTGGAGAGAGAGAGAGGTTCTTTGATGTGGTGACGCATGACTGGCAGGCGTGCTAGCTAGCCGCTAGCCATCTGCTAGCTAGTCATGGACTGCTAGTCATACAGTCATGGGTGGACATTTAGGAACCTAATGGCAAACGATATTGTAGAGACTCTAGACCTTTTCTTCGTGGTTTGGTAACAGCGATGGCCTCTCCAGGTCACTTGGAAGTGGCGGATCTCCTGATCCAAGAGGGTGCAGACCTGGACGCCGTGGACTACGCGGGCCGACCGCCCTTGGTTCACGCGGCCATTCAAGGTGGGAAGGGGAGAGTGGATGAAGGAGTTTCGTAGCGGCCGGTTACACCGAAGAAGAAGTGAAGAATGAAGTTGGCGTTTTTTTGAGGATTTGGCTTGCAAAGTGGACAGGGGAGTGACTTAGCCATAAGCTGAGCATGATGATAGCCCCCCTGTCCCAGGAGAGCAAGACATGGTGGAGCTCTTGGTGGAGAACGGCGCCAACGTCTTCGGCAGCAGCAACGATGGCATCGCCTTCTACAAGTCCGGGCCGCCAGAGATCCAGAGTTACATCGGCCAGCTGCTCGGCTGCTCGGGGAGACAGTGTGCGCGTTGGGTGTTTTTTGTAGGTGAAGACACACACGCGCGCGTGTGGAGACAGGTTTTGAGATGGTTTGAGTGTATTTGGAACGAAGGCTTCACCAGGTGGCTGTGTTCGATGGAAAAACCTTGCCAGCCGTCCTTGCGCCACTCTGAGCGCCGTCTGGCGCTCCAATCGGTCTCACAACGACCAGGTCCGCCCACGACGGGTCCGTCGACGGGTCGGGTCGAGGCAGATGAGGTTCCGCTCGCTGATCACGCAGCCCTGCTTCCTTTGGATTTTGCTGGGTGCTCCAGCTTTAGGAGTGCTCCAGCTTGGCGACATGCTTTGCAGGGTTCCAAGCCGGAGGGTTGCGTTCGCCATCTGCTTCCATGGCGCACTGATCGTCCGTCGAAAAGGAGCACCGCGACGACCCGTGACGACCCGTGACGACCCCCGACCAGGAGTCTTGTGGGCCGCCCTGCAGCGCGCCCTTCGGGGAGGTCTCCCCAGCAGCTTCGTGGAGATCCCCTCGGAACGGCAAATGGTGGAGTCAGAGCTCCTGGAAGATACCGAAGACGACGAGCAGAGCGATGCTGGTTCTGATTCGGCGGGCGTTTGTTGTGTGTTTTTTGTGTGTGCGCTTGCGTTTTTGCAAGCATGCCTTGAAACTTCATCGGATTGGAGCTGTTCAATGGATTGATGTACTTGGATGCATGCTGCAGAACACGTGTTTGCTGGCACTAAGTAGGTGGCCGGGTGTCTAATTTGATCGAATTTGGCTAGCTCACTTCGAACTGAGCTCCACATCTGAGCTCCCATGCGTGAAGAGCGGTACACCATGCTCGCATGCCTGCGATGTCCTTTTTAAAGTAACCAGCCGCTGAGACCAGCGTCAAACCGAGGAGTTCTTCCATGGCGCCAAGCTCCTGTTGGCCCAGACCAGCCTATCTCCCTTCCATCGCTTTCTCGAAGTGGCCACCTGTGCGGTCTTAATCTTCGGCTTCGGCGTCAGCGTGGTGTGGTGGGCCTTTTGGATTCCTCTTCATGTGTTCTTCTATCTCTTACCCGCCCTTCTCGCCTATCCCTGTCATCTTCTAATGACCCGCCCTGCCCTGTTCCTCACCTTCAGTTTAAGCAGTGCTGCTGCTCCGCTGCTGCAGCTGCTCCGCACCACACTGCTCTTAGCACTCGTGTTGCTCGTGGCCGCGCGGCATCGCTCCGAGTGCGTCTTGGTCTCCAGCGTGTGGGCTGCGCCCATTTGCCGGGACCAAAGCGCCATGGCCGGAGGCGAGATGGGTCATGGCTGCAGGTCGGAAGAAGGACCTGAAAGGACGTGGAGGGTGGCGACCTTAACAGAGGAAGATGCACACAAGTTGATTCAGAACACATGGATTTTGGAGTCGATTCAGTCCTCATTTAGAGACCCAAAACGGTTTCACTCAAGCCCCGAGGCACGGGGGCAAAACTGGTTGCAGCGGGGTAAATCGGGGAGGTAAGTAAAAGATTCAAGAAATCTTCTAGGGACACCTGGGTGGCACACGATGCCTCTAATGGTGTAGTGGCTTGGCATCCGAGGCCAAACTGGTCAGAAAATATACCTCAGTTGCGGCACACGACGGGACCGTTTCCTTCCACTCTACCGGTACATGTGTGGACTTTTGGTGAGGCTGGAATAGGCAGGATGGAGAACATGTCCCATACACCCCCAGAAGACGGCCTTCAAACACACACGGTGGTGTCTCACCGTGTCGCGAAACGGTTCTTCGTCTTGAGGCGCTACTTCCACCTCGTTCTACGTGGATTCGTTGCAACTCTCCAGCTTGAATTGGTATGAACTCCTCTTGGATCCCAGCACTTCGTGGCAACTCGAAGGCGTCACGCTCTTCGGCTTCCAGCTTCGACCCTTTCTCCTCACGGCCGCCTTCTTCATCTTCTTGCGACCCGAACAAACACCCTGGGTGGCGGTGATGGTGCGAAGTGTGTGTGGAGTGTGGGTCAAAAGTCGGTTTTGAACTCGGATGGGGTCTTTGATGGTAATCGGTTAGCCTCCCATGCTCTCTCTGAACGAGGAAAGAGGTTAAGGCGAAGGCCTTCCAAATGTGGCACTTGATGCCGATGGTCTCCGGGATCAGTCTACTTGGTCTCTCGGTGCTTGGAGCACCTTTGGAGACCGCAAGCTTGATGCATCCCCCTATCCCCCTTGTCGTGCTCCGTGTTAAGCCTTGCCTGAGGCTTCTGACCTCTCTCGCTTACATGGCCACTTTGCTCTTGAAGTGCTTCGCTTCTATGACTCGCCCTTGCGTCACCGACCAGGGCCTCTCCCCCAGTGAGGCCGTGCGGCTGCAGATGCTCTTGAGGGCTGCGGCACCCAGCACGTTCCCCAAGGACAGGTCGTGGGTTGGCGGGTTCAGCACCCTGTTTCAGCGTGTGTTCAGCGTTCTTTTTTCTTTACCACCAAACGTTCACCGCATGTTTACGAAGTTCTTTTTGCCGGATGGGTTCGGTTCTTCTGGTCTTCTTTCGCGTCGTGGCCGCGGCCGCCACCGGTCGGCCGCGAAAACCGAAGGACGTGGCGCCGGAGAAGGGCCGGAGCCTCCACGGCAAGTTGTTGCTGCTGATCTTGGACGTGGCCTTCGACGTGAACACGGCCACTGGGACGAAAACGAGCGAGCGGGCCCGAACGGCCCGAACGGGGCGCGGCTCCTGGCGGAACAAGAAGCGACCAAAACGGATAGGTCGGGGGTTGGCCGGTCAGTTCGGGGGAGAAGAAATGAAGCTGCTTGAAGATTTGAGGGCAGGTGCCGACAGGTCTACACCTGAAGACAACCCAAGAGCCTCCACCTGAAGACGTCCGAGGTCTACACCTTGATGTTCACCGGGAATCCTCTCTTCGCCTTTGCTTTGATGCTGGTGCTCAGCAGGCCGGGCCTGGGAATTGTGACAGATGTTCCCTGGAGAAGCTGGTTGGTTGTCAATCTCGTCGGCCATGGTCTCGTGGTTGAGCTCTTCTTCAATCTCTTCGGCCAGAAATCCAAAGGTGACGCTACGACCAGGTGGAGGCCATCGCTATTTGGAGGCCATTACTACCAGTAACAAGGCGGCTACTATAGGGGGAGGCCATGCTCGCTATTAGCTAAAGAGGTTCAGTCAGGGCATGTCAGGGCGCCTTCTTGAACAGTGATTTTGGGCGCATGGATGCATGATAGACCAAAGCTTGTGAAGTGACTCTGGGTTGTCTATGTAGTCTATGTGCCTCTTCCCTTTACAAGTTCTCTTGGGTGCTGTTTTTAGGAATGTACCTCAAAAACCATGTGACCCCAGGTTCATGATTGGTTGATGTAGGTGATTGATCGCTCCATCTCCTTCATCCATCCATCTACTGCTACGTTGGAACGGATCAGCATGTCCAGCCACGCTGCCTGCTCACCCGCGGGACCCCACGCGGAGGTCCCTGGCTCAACAGCTCTTCTCTGGCGCTTGCAGGCTTCCTGAGGTCGGACTGGCGGACTGTGGGGCGAGGAAGGGAAGCGAATCCGAGGCGTTTCCAAAGAACACATCTCGTGGGTCACCATGTGACACCGCTAGTTTCGAACCGACCAAGCAGGCAGCAAGCGGAGCCAACCAAAAAGGTCCAGCCACTGGACTGAGCTCGCGGCGTCACGCGTTTTCAGGCTGTGCAGGAGAGCACGCGAAGAGGAATGATGCGGAGACCTGGCACGGAATGACCACGGAGTGTGTTTGTGCCCCCCCGCGTTAGGGATTCCACGGTGCACACGGTTTCCCACAAACCAATTCCTGGCCCTTGCTGATGCGAACTGTAGACTCTGAAGCCTATTCTTGATTATGAAGCAGTTGCCTTTCTGAAGCAGTGGCCTTTTTTTTGTTCACATCTATACCCTATTTGCCAATCCCAGGAAAGATCTGTTGGACATCTTCGATGAAGAGCCGCTGGGGCGAAACGCAACGAACTGAAAACACCGGACACCCGTTTTTCCGTCGCGGCGGCGGTGGAGGTGTTGTTCGGTCTTCGGAGGTTTGGTCGGACCACTCGGCGGTTTGGTCGGGTCGGTCCCGGTCGGTGAAGCTCCAGGTTCGCACCGAGCTCCGTGGAAAAGACCGCCTCGAGCTAAACATGGATGCGAAGAGAAGGTCGAATCGTGGACAAATCGTGGACGAGAAAAGAAGGAGAAAAGAAGGACATGGATAGAAAAGGATGGATAAGGTCTAAATGGCACAAAGAACAGAAAGACAGAGGTCGGACTTCTTTTTTTGAACGGTCACCGGAACTTTCTGGTCTTGCGCGCCCTCTTCGCGGCCTGTTTCCGCCCTCTTCTCAGGCAGGGCTTCCAGGCCTTTGCATCGCTCTGTCTCACCTCCTTGTCTTATTGGTATTGCATCCAAGATGCATATCAGGCCACAGCTCAGATTATTAGCATTCTTCTGAGCACTTATAGTGTGTCAAGCTACTTGTTTCGCCGGATTGATGCAGAGATCGAGACCTAGGCTCGTAGAGACTCGTGCAGCTTGGCACGTTCGGGGTGAAAAGGAGTGCGCTGCGATGTTCAATCAACGATGTTACTCCGCTGACGTCACTCGTTCGAATGTGGAAGTTGTGCATTGGCCTGGAAAATCCCAAAGCAACATAGCCACTTGGGAAAGTCACATCATCCAATGATCCAAGCTGCTGTGCTTGGTGAGTGCGTGAGTGTACTGGTGTACCTCGCAAAGCATGTTTGTTTGGACTGCCGCCAGCATTTCGGCTGCAATGAGAACCTTTCGCTGAAGGAGCGATGCGCGTGATGCGCGTAGGGTTTCTCTTGGCCCTCGGCATCACAGTGCAGGCCAAAGAGCACAACCACTCGCATGCAAAGCAGCATGCTAAGAAGTTGTCGATCCAGGAGCAGGCTGGTGTGCCATGTCGACTCAAACGTTCGAAAGAATCTTTGTGAGATCTCCGAATGCGTGACAAAATACGGTCGAGACGTGCTCCGTCGAAAGCTCGTGTTGGCAAACAGAAGAAGCAGTTGGCAGACCCGGTCCAAAGAAGGAGGGTAGAAACGAGTCCGCTCGACGGCGACTTAGCCGCTTATTCCTGCTCGACTCGCTCGAGCAGGTGGACATGGCCTGCCACTCTGCTCGGACGGGCAACTTGGAGCAGCTCCAAAGCGTAGAGCTCTTGGGCTCACCGCACGCGTGGAAGGAGGGACTGCGTGGAAGGAGAGTTGCGGTGGTGTGTGGGACAGAGGGCATGCTGAAAAGCGACTCGACCTCTCCAAGCTTCGGAGACCGTTTCCATACCTAACCTCCATTTATGCCATAATGAAAAGGATCATATTTTTGGATTCATACCTTTCCCATGAATTCCAGAACGAGTCGTTGGTCACTCGGATCGTGTTGACCAACGCTCCGCGCCCACCCACTCGGCCCGGCCGATTCGTTCGTCGCTCTCCACGCCGGAACAGCTGAACTTCCAGACCCCCGGCAGCCTCACAGACTGGAGCAAAGGCTTTTGGCCTCTTTAGGGATGTCCCCAGCGATGTTTGTGCCGTTTTTTGGGGATGAATCAACGACGGTGTGCGTGTTGACACCACGGCTTACGCCGCCCGGACCGGCAAGCCTTGACCGTCCCTCGTCGTCTCGGGTGGGGTGCAGAGCGCGGAGGCCACGGTGAATGCGCAGCAGTGCGTGGAGAAGTGGACGGCGGGAACCCTGCTGCACGAAGCAGCGACAGCAGGTGAGGGATGCAAAACAGGTTTTTGGGGGGGCGCTCTGCCAGAGATGTTGGAAGAAAGAGGATGTGGACATTTTCAGGAGTTCAGATGAATGAATCGAATGAAGGTCGCGGCCCCTTCGCCTGGCCCGGTCCCGACCTCATCGGCCCCTTGAGGTCGATTGGAGTTCGCTCAACGACTGGTGCAGAATGGTGCCAGCATCTCTGTGAAGGATACAGATGGATGGACACCCTTTGCCCGCGCGGTGATGGAAGGCTGGGTTTGGTTCTATCAACATGTTAGAAAGAAACAACTGACCTTGGTGGCTTTGGGCGATGAGTGGGGGAGGCCAAACGACAGCTGACAGCTAAACAACACTGATAGCGCATCGGTGCTCCGGTCGAACTTCGTTCCAAGGCCTCCTTTCGAAACCCCAAAAAACCTCCTTTCGAGCACATCGTTTTCCCCGGCACTGCAGCGGTGTGGGCACCTTCGTTTTCAGGCCACTTGACCTTGGCGGTGTGGCTCATGGAGCAAGGCGCGTCTCGCACCGCTCCCCGAGCTCGGTGGTCCGTTTCAAACGGGTTTTTGGGAGCCGAACGAGGCGCGATGGACCTGGCGAACTATGAGGGCGAGACCGTTCTCATTTGGGCCAGCAAGGAAGGCAGGGAGTGCGGTGTACAGCTGTTAGTGGGAGAACTCGAGACCATGTGGGGCCCTTAGGTCCCCATCGGCCTGACGTGAACGTCGCGCCTCGTGCGAGGCCGCCTCGAGCTGTGCCGTTGGCTCTGCGGGCGCGGCAGCGCGGCCAACGCGGTGGATGCTTACGGAAACACGGCCCTGCTGTGGGCGATCCGGGAAGGCCAGGCAGCACCGAAGGCCAAACGGTAAATCCGTCCAGCCGAATTCGGTGTGAAGTGATGAGAGATGAAAAAGACTTTTCGATTCCTTGGTGAATGGCTGGAAAAAACTCTTCTGTTTTGGTGCGCCGATTTGGTATTTCAGCACCCAGCCATCGATTCGTTTGATGCGGCATCGATTCGTTTGGAGCTCCCAGCCGGTCTGCGCATATGGAAGACCGGTGACGCTGGGTTGGAATCATCTCTGACGCATGGATCGCGGGGAAAGTCAACAAGTATTCGACTCCAAAGAGAACACAAGTGCCTTACTACTATAGAAACAAGTGCCTTACGACTAGTAACAAATGCCTTACTATAGTAGTAACAAGAAGCTACTAGAAACAAGTGCCTACTTCAAGTACGACCGCTTTTCTACCACCGCTGTGCCACGTGTTTTTTTTTTTCAGGCCACGTGGACGTGGTGCGATGGCTTCTCACGCGCGACGTGGATCTCGAAGCCGTGGATCCGGACGGCTGCACCGCCCTGGCCTGGGCGGCCAAGCGAGGTGCGGCGAAGCACGTCGGCGCGGAGACGCGAAACGAAGCGCGTCGATTTCTCAACACGAAGATCCTCATGACTAGTTTAGGACTGGTTAGCGTTCAGGTGGGCTACGTAGTACTGTCAGGTCTGGTACCAAGTGACTGTCCTGCCAAGATCAAACGGATCGATCCGGCCTCAGGACGAACTGAGATGGCAGAGGCTTTGTTGGAGCATGGGGCTTGGGTGAATTCCAAGGACAAGCACGGGTACACCCCCCTGGTGTGGGCTGCGAAGACAGGCGCGGGAGAGACACCCATGGCGTACTTGAAGTGTTCATCGTGCGTCTCATGGACACCATGTTGGGCTGGGGGGCCGGAGGGCCACCCAAATTCATGTTTGAGGTCTTTCTTTCAGCAGATAGATGGCTGTCAACATCTTTGTAGCTGTGATTCCGGGTTTGGTCGTCGATCCGTGCTCGAAATGGCAGAAAGATGGGTTGCGGCGGCATGACCGAGCCCGTGCTCCAGGAGACATGATCACGGTGAAGCTGTTGATTGAAAAGGGTGCCGACTTGTTGGGCGCGACGTCCAACGGCACACCCTATTTCAAGGTCTCCAACTACGCCAACATCAACGAATACATCTTCCTGAATCGTTTCTTCGCCATGGCCGTGCCCGCCCTGCTGATCGTCGCCTTGGCCTCACTGGTGGGTCTGGGCGCCGCCCTCGCGCAGCAGCAGCTCCTGGCCCTCGGAGCCCACACGCAGCAGCTCCTCCACCGTCCGCCGCCCACGCCGCGGACGCCGCGCAGCGCACCGAGCGGACTGTCGGAGCGGCGCGACGGGCTGGACCCCGTGGTGGACTTCTCCCACGGCGCCGCGCTGCGGGACGCCCGGGACGAGAAGAACCGCTTCCTGCTCTACTGGGGATATGTGGGACATGCCACGGAAGTGGAAGTCATGGCGATTCTGATCTTCGGCTTTGGAATGGGTCCCTTGGAGCCCCTTTGGGTTTTGGGGGGCGGTTGTTTGCGGTTTGCAGATGTTTGCAGTTCACCAAATCCATCCATGAACGGATGAAAGGAACGGATGTCGCGTGTGAGGCGTCGTTTGGTGGGTTTATTGGTTGCCCTTGCACCTCTTCCTCTATGGCGCTCTCAGTCTGCAGCGCTGGCGCATCACGCAGCTCTGGTGCTCGCCCTCGCTGCTGCTGACCACCGAGCCACGCTTCCGAGCGCTGATGGCCTCGCGGAGCCTCTTCCTGTTGGCCGTGGCCGCTTGGGAAGGAACGACCAGGGATGGGGTGCCGGTTTCGCAGATCCAAGAGATCCATGGTGGAAACATGGCGCACACCATGTGAACAGTTTGGTGGCGGTGGAGTGCTGTCGCTTTTTGGGGAAGGTCGGACAAAAGAAACATGGAAGGTCCCTCCATGTGTTTTGTTCGATCTTTCTCCACCGACTCGGTGGCGTTTTGGCGAGGGCGGCGGGGCGTGGGGACCTGCGTTTGTTTTCCGTTTCGGTCACCACTAAAGACCTCGAGGACAAGACTGAAGGATGCGCGGATGCTATGCGGATCTAGGCGGTATGTATGGAAATGTCGTGGAAATGGTTCATGGCATTCATGGCATGATGCCCTCCGCGTGAGGTGTTTTTTTGGGTTCCCCTTCTTATTCCTGAACTTCTTCTGACCGTCTTCAGGTGCTTTGGTCGGCGAGGCCGGAGCACTGCGGAGAGCCGACGCTTTTGACCTGGGCGAGGTATCTCTGCGCAGCGCCCACGTGGTCCTTGCCGTTGGCGGATCCTGACTGGGCTCAGCTGCTGGTGAAGCAAACCATGGTTTGGGACCGCGAAGCGGCCTCAGACATCACAGGACGGCTCAACGACTCGTTGGGTTGATGAAATCTCAATCTGGTTCGTTGCTTCGACAGGCGGCCTTGACTGAAGTTTCCAAACCAGACCACCGCCAAGTGTCCTAGAGAGACTTTTGTTGCGGCAACTTCTTTCATAGCCCTGGTGCCGAACCAGCACCCAGCTGCACAACGTGGCATGCGTCTCCAAAGGAGTCGCGTTAGAAGAACTTAGCCGGTCATGTTCCTTCCTGAAGACTTCGAAGTGATGAGTGTGGTCAGTCTAGTGTTTTTTCTGTGAAATCTCCGCAGGAATGTACTTCCTGATGCTTTTCTTGGGCCTGCTTTTCTACGTGCCATACAACATCTTCATGATCCTCCGAGGGGAACAGGGCTCCGTCTTCCACAAGTTTCAGCCGATGAGACTGGACAGCGCCAGCGAAGAATTCAAGCGGAAGCTGTGGATGGAAGTGGCACTTCTTTTGCTTGATGTGCTTTTGCAATTCAATACCGTGCCTCATCTGCAAAACCGTTCTTTTCAATCTGAAAGAAATCACCTCAAATGCCAAACCCAGCAAGGGTGACTTGAGGGGATGTGCTTGAAAGTTAACAAGAGTTTTCTCGGGAGGGATGTAGCGGGCTTTGTGCCCGCACTTGGAGGTTTGCATCCTTCTTTGGACCAATCTGCCGAAATTGGCCTTCTTGTTGACCTGTGTCATCAGCAGGCACGTTGCGCCGCCCAAAACGGAGGTCTGACATCGCTTTTCCCAAAAAGCCGGCCAGGTCGCTGTCGCTGCAGATGCTCTCCGGCAACCTCAGCACCGTCTCAGCGGCGGGGTCAGTCGGGAAGTCGTTGCTGGGCGCGGTCGTTTGGCCATGTGCACCGTCAAAGAGGGTCAAATAGTCGAACTTACTAGGAGCAAAGACGCTACTAGGAGCAAAGGGCATCGCTACTAGGAGCAAAAAGCTACTAGGGGCTCCTTGCCTTACTACTAGGAGCAAGGACGCTACTAGGAGCAAAGGGCATCGC